CTGCGGCGGCACACTAACTTAATCCTGTGTCGACTTAACTTGTCGCTGTTGATTGTGGGGATGGATGTTGCCGAAATGTCTCCGCTCCATCGCTTCTGCCACTTCACCTGTCTCTTCGTTGAGATACCTGGCACTCAAACAGCAAGACTCGGAGACATTCACAGAGCCCAGTCGCTCGATTCTCTCCGGTTTTCTTTTGGCATTTAAGGTTGTGTGCATCACGGCTTGCTGCCTTGCCTCGTTCAACTTTCGACCGCCCTTCTTGCATCTTGCCCCCCGCTCTTGGTCGTTGATCTCAGCCACCTCACTCGCCTTGCTCTGCTCGCACGCACGCCGTTCGTTCTACTTGCGTACAGACTCACTCGAATCGAGTTTGCAGCACAAATAAAGCCACCATGAGTGATACGACAGCTGTCAACAAAGCTTACTTTGAGTACGTGTGCTTTCCTCTGCCCGGTGACGCGATGCTTCTCCCTTCCTGAGGCCGGGTTCCTACAGCAGTCTCGTCCTCCTTCTCTGCTGCCTCGTCCCCCCAATCCCACTTCGTCGGGTGGTCGCTGGCTTGTGACAGTCATGACGAAAATGCGCTGTGTCAACGGCGCCGTGTCACCATCGATCCTACTCTACGTTGTGGTGCTTGAGCTGCTGACACGTCTTCTCTTTTCTCCATCTAGCGGACTAGCGTCCGAGTATGACCGCCGCTTCGAGAAGACCATCAGTCAGCTCGTCAAGGAGATCCAGAAACGCCGAGACTTCATCGGCATTGACTGGGTTCAGGAGGACAGTGATGACGAAGATGACAATGGCGATACGACCGAGTCGTCCGTTGGCGCTGGCAAGACGGTCAAACTGCTCGACTATGCTTGTGGCACTGGACTTGTGTCGAGGGTACGTGTTCGCTCTGACAAGAAGCGTCTTTCCTCCTTGTTCTCCCTTTTCTCGCGAGCCCGTGGCGTCATTCCCACGGGATGCCGTTTACTCAAGCAACGTACGGCTCTGACCCGTATGCGTTTACAGGCTCTCGCCCAATACACTACGCAATGCGTAGGCATCGATGTCTCGGAGAAGATGGTGGCGGCGTTCAACGCCAGAGCCGAGAACCAGGTTCGTGATGTACCCTCTAGGCACAATCAAATCACTCTGTTCCGCCCACCTCCAGCCCTCTATTCACCCTGCTCGCCGCAGAATACTCTTCCCGAGATCCCCCCCTCTCCTGTCGTCCCAGGCCCAGACTGATCCGTCATGGTGTGATGCGCCAACAGGGTCTCTCTGCCAACGAGATGCGAGCCTACCACGGCAACCTGATAGATCCATCGGATCCTAGCCCTACAGGCCTCGCGGGTGCCGACTTCTCCGGTTTCGACCTCGCCGTTGTGGGTCTCGGTTTCCACCACTTCGACGATCCGGAGTACGCCGCCAAACAGCTCGTGGCGCGCCTCAAGCCCGATGGCGTGCTGCTGATCATTGACTTTTTCGAGCACGGCGACCACGGGCACGCGCATGACGGCAAGCATGGCCATGGTCACGACCACGAGCATGCCCATCACCATGACAAGCCTGCCGAGGCAGCAAGGGAACGTCCGGCCAACGGCGTCATGCACCACGGCTTCTCGGAAGAGCGCATGCGGGCCATGTTCGAGGGTGCCGGCGCCGGGACGAATTACGCGCTGCAGGAGGTCGGTAGCGGCGTCGTGTTCCACGGGGCAGATGAGGACCGAAAGCGGCGTGTCTTCATGGCTCGGGGCACCAAGGCATAAACGTAGAGGCAATGGCGGGAACATGCAGGGACGGACAGCAACATATCTTCTTCAACTCGAAACATGCGGATGGACAATGTCAACAGCCGACAGGCTGCCAGTGAGGCTGCATCGAATAGAGGCGTTGAGTTGATTAGTCTATTCTCAGTAAGCCAACGTGCGAGATCTTTCTCTATGGTCCCAATTTCCTGATTGCACATTCTGACACCCCGGCTCACTTGTGGCCCGCAGCCTTCTCGGAGATATCGACAACGAAGGCGCCGCCTAGGAGAATAGCGGGCTCGTCAATGTTCTGGTGCTCGTAGCTGCAGACAGTGTTAGCGAACCGACCGCGAAAAGTTGTGCCTCCAGGTTCCGCAACCCACCTCAAAGTCCCCACGCCACCAGCCTCCAACACAAAGGCCGGCCCCTCGTGCAGTGCCTTGCCGGCCCACCGCAGCGCAAAGGCGCGCAGAATGTGGCCGTGGGCGACAACGAGAACGTCGCCTGTGCTGCTCGCGGCGTCGGCTCCCTTTTCAAGCACGGGGGCCTGCCAGCGGTCGCGGATGTCTTGAATCAGACGATCTAGGCGCTCAGTGACTTGCTCAGGACTCCTGTTTGTTCGATCAGCACACTTGCCTTGCGGGGAAAAGATTAAGAGGAAAGGTGCGGTTCTTGTGCATGGGCCTCTGGGCCGCCAGGAAACTTACTCGCCACCGGGACAGCCGTCACGCCAGATATCCCAGCCTTCGGGAAGTCCCTGCTCCTTCCGCAGGCGACGAATCTCGGGGCTTGTGATGCCTTCATAGTCGCCATAATCCCACTCGCGAATGTCGTGTGTGACCTGAACTTGGGCGTCGCAGGAGCGGCTCGTGCCGGCGCCGTCGCCATCAGCGTCGTCGGCGGCTGGCTCACCGTGGGCCTGCCACGGAAGCGGGTTGCGCAAACCAAGGTTGAGGAGCTCAAAGGTGCGCTGGGCCCGCTTCCGCGGGGAGACGTAAATGTGAGCGAGCTGACGGGGAACGATGAGGCGGTCGCGTCCGACGAGAGCGCGGCCCGTCGCCTGAATACGTTTTTCGCCATTGGCAGTCAGCGGGATGTCGGTCGTGCCCGTGTGACGGCCATTCAGAGACCACTCTGTCTCGCCGTGACGGATGATGAAGACCCGGGGCCCCATGGCGGGGTACTGGGTTTGTTGGGGGGGGGGGGGGAGAGATGCTGAGCCAGAATTAGTGCCACAGTCTCAAGATTTGTGGTCCAAGACGACAGGAAGTGTTCCCGTCCTGCGAACCCTCAATCTTGATCATATTCATTGTTCGGGGTCATCCATCTGATGCAGGTGCAGACCGATACGCTCTGAACGATGCATCCCCACAGCGTGATCCGCCATGACGTGATGGTCAATAGATTGGGGGACCATGTAGGACTAGGACGACTAGTTGATTGACAGTGGGCACGGAAATACGACGATGACTGAAGGCCAATTCATCTCGTCTGCCGGTGCCGTACTTCCGTCGTGAAGTGTTTCAGGGCGCAAGAGACGGTTCTATGCTAATAGTAGAGGCCATACTCACTCTGTCGCGCTCACAGCGGGCGCTCGTGCGTTCTTGTGTTTCAACAAGCCGAGGGCAGGTTTGGGCGCAATGGCGAAACTTTGAACGTGCGGCAGGATGGAGAGCTGACGAGACAGAGAGAGAGGGAGAGGAGGAGAAGATGGGACAATGTGTTCATCAACAAAAAGGGCTTGATGTGCCCTCAAACGACGAGTCTGCTTCTTTCCAGAAAATTGAAAAAGCGAACAAGTACGCCTCGATCGTTCTTTCCCAAGGTTTCCCTCACAACACGAACCCATCGACGCTTCCCAGAAATGGATGGCAAGAGCGGAGGGCAAGGGCAATTACTAAGCCACTGGAGCTGGAGCTGGACCTCGACGCCGCCGTGGCAAGCGTGGGTGCTGTCCCGCTCCGCTCCCGGTCTTGGCACCAACAGGAACAGCAACGCGTCGATCGCCGTCGCCGACCCTGCCTCTGCCGCCGTGTCCAGCTCAACTTCGACCGCGAACGACATTGAGCTCCAGCCCTGGCGTTCGACCTCTACGTCGTCATTGACCGCCAAAGAGAGCCCCTTGACGCCGTTCGCCAACCTGCGATCGAGACCCCACAACCACACCCGCACCAGCTCCGTCACCAGTCTTTGCTCGAACTCGAGCACCTCGTCCACCACCAGCAACACCAGCACCACTTCCGTCAAGAGCCAGGAAGCCCAGTCAGTCTGGCGTGACTACTGGTGACTGCCCAACTCGGTCAGCCTATCTATCGCTCCGCTCCCACCCCCACACAATGGCGACCCCCGGTGCGCGCAAGGTCCGCGCCGGCGTCATCGCCGCCTGTTTCGCTGCCGTCGTCTTCACCGGCGCCATCTACGGCGCCGGCATCAAGACGCAGCAAGAATGGACAGAGGTATGTACCGCGCCCCCTTCTCCGTGGCACGTTCTCTGCGCACCCTCCCGACTGACTCCCCTGGCCTCTACAGAAGCGCGGCCAGTTCCGCCAGTCCCCCCTCAGCGAGCAAATCTCCGTCCTCGAGTCCCAGCGGCAGGGCCTTGTCGAGCAACGCGCTGCCCTGACGAACAAGCTCGCCGCGTTTGAGGCCAGGGTCCGCGAAAGAGACGCCAAGGCTGCAAAGGAGGCGTCCGAGCCGGCAAGATAGAAACGTGCGATTCGACGATTGTCACGACAAACCGTCCGCACCCATACCCGCCTCAGGGCTCTCTCTGACAACCTCTCTGAGCAGGATCAGCTGCGCATCTGAGTGAATGGGATGCGTCCAGAATTACAATAACATCAGCCCCGGAGCAGACCAAGGGGCATCTCGACTCCCAGGGACGCTCCCGACTGAGCTCTACACCAAGTGCCGCGTCGCGGTTAGGCAGCTGCCGGGCAGTGTACGGCGCGAGGCTTGGCGTGTGGTGGCCGCCCTGTTGCGCGAATCCATTCCATAATAGCTCGGGAGCAATGGCACGGGGAATAGAGGCACACAGTCGCACGTAAATTTCTGGAGCATAGGACTAATTAATTAGAGACAAAAGGGAGCACACTCTTCAAATGGGATGGCGTGCGCATGGGCTCTAAAAGCGGGCCAATACTGTCTCAAG